AGGTGTTCTAGAGATTTGGTATACAGACATATGTTCTCTCCACACCAGTATACCCCAGAGCATACTACTATTGTAAGGGCTATTGTGAGTGAGAGTGTTTTACTCCGCTTTTAGCAATATTCCAGCAATATTCCAGCAATATCACGGCCAGGGGACACCGGAAATGGGCTTCACTCATTGTACACATATGGGGAATTGAACCTGGGTCTTCAGCGTGACGAGCGAATGTTAACCACTCGCCTACCCTACATCCCCCTATTGGCAGTGTAACTAGGATCTTGAGTCAACAAGTACTTATTGTCCCTTACAGTGGTTATATCATGACTTGTGCAAAAACCAGTTTATTAATAACAAGAAGACAAAGTCATCAATATCCCCCGCAATGGCAAAATACTCCATCATTATGTCTGGTCAAATATTTAGGTGTGTATATAGAAATATTTAGTCATATAGAAAAGGGAAGGAGAGTATTGATTTTAAAGTTCTGCTCCAGAAAGCAGCACTATCACCAATTTCAGTCAAACTTGTTGCCATGGAAATGCCAAAAATATTTTATTCAGAATTCCAAACTAAAAAGGCACCAGTGCCTTGATTACTTGGTCAGGATGGATCGCTGCTGTTGTCAATATCCCTTGCCTGTTGACTGGCTGCCATCATAAACCTACCAAATAAGGAGGGTGATTCCAATCAACAACAACCAATCCATGTATGCAGTTGGTTATTGAACGGTTTTAGAGTTCTGCTCGAAAAGACAAATGTGCACGGACTTCCAGAAACAAAGCACACAGTAAGCCAAACTTGTTCAGTCTACTACCTGAAATTGTATTCTGGCATTATTTCAGTAGATCTTAATAGTGTTAGTGCATGTAGTACACTTGATCTTCTAGATCTTAATAGTGTTAGTGCATGTAGTACACTTGATCTTCTAGACCAGGTGAAATTTTACTTGACTCTGGCTTCAGACCAGTGTCTGAAACCAAACTGACCACACACCAGCTAGTATTTAATAATGATTAACACAAAATATATCCTGCAATGTTTAGGCTGAAGTTAATTCTCTAGGTGTGGATATCTTTTTACCAAATTTTGACTATTGATGAGGTGTGTGTATGTTTCATGAGTATAACTAGTTGGGAAGGCATGGTAGGGGTACACAATACAAGGGCTGGTCAGTGCAGTTAGTTTGACAAACATTTCCAGTGGTTTCAAGCCGGAGCGTGTCATTCCTTCCCTTTCAGTGACTGGGTGAATTAATGACGTATCACTATACTTATCCAATCACCACCTGTTTCAAAGAAGAGATTTGTGCTAGAACAACGCGACCTGAATGGGAGGTTATCTTCACTATCACAACAGGATAAATATTTATCTATTATGTGGTCCACAGATTATAGAAATAGCAAAACAGAGAAAAATCTTTCAGGCTGAAATCACCATTTTATAAATTACTAATGACTTCTTTGTTCCCGTCAACTCGTGAAATGTAAACCGGTCATTATGTCATGTGTTGTACATTTGCTTCAGCTGTGTTTCTGGTGAAGGCGGATGGTATGCCAATGCTATGAACCAAATCTATCCGTCATTTTACAGAACCCTGTTGTCCAGCAAATGTCCAAATTTATACCTCTGCAGCGTAGACAAGGGACAACTGTCCCAAGCACAACACTCTGAGGCTCCATGGACAAAGAATTACTGGTTGTGTCTGCATGATAATATCCACAAAGGAACTTCTTCAACCCAATGGAAATGTTCTGGCTGGATGCCATGGTGCCAAGGGTGATGACAACTTCTGTCAGCTTGGCTGCCAACCCATGGAGATGCCATCACTTACACTGGAGGTGTAACAAACTTGACAAATGCCTCAGCCAAATCTAATCACAAAGTATATCTTCAGGGAACATCATTCAGTTTGTGAATGGAGTGTTCTCAGTGGGTAAAACGCTTGTTAGCAACAATCCCCAAAAAGAAGCAAATATAGTACTGTAGTGCTTTTCAGAACAAAAGGAAACAACTTACCGGCAATACCCGCGACATCTAGATTCATTCAGTTTGTTTTCACATGATTTAGATTGGGACATGTTAAACCAGAATTTAACCCCATTATGAGACAAGTTTAACTTTAACCAACTATCAAGAACACCAGTACACCGACAAGAACAAGAGAAAGTTGTGCCGATTGGATTCACTTCCAACAATGAAAGGAAAACAAACAGTCCAAATATAGCATTGAATAAATTTATTCTGTGAATTCCAAATTTATGACAATGATGATACTAAGATGGCTGACTACATATCTAGTACATGAGGACAAACAGCGAAATGCCTTCAGGTGAAAGTGAAGATTACAAAGTCAGCTACAAGTGATGCTAGAAAGCAAAATGGGCCATGTACAATGACTGCTGATTTCAAGCAACTGAGTCCAGTTTTCAAGGATGAATATTTTACACAATGCATGATCAAATATTTATATCAATGATTTGGTTTGTCAAAGATAGTCAGTGTGACTAATGAGCCATTCATGGAAAATTGGAGAAACACATACAGGACTGAATCTTGTCGGGAACACCCGGCAGTCTTTCTCTTGTTCTTGTATCATTCATAAACCAATGAAACACTGCTAATTAGTCAAACCAACTATTTCTGACCAAATGACAATATTCACAAGATGTAAACAAAACTGCAATGCACAACAGAGTCCTGTCAGATTAATACAACTAAGATAATGAAATCGACAGATTATCATAAGCCAATGTTCTTCTCCATGTATATTTAAAAAGGATCTAAACAGACCTGTGGAACAAAATGGACTGTCTCGATTAAAGAAAACACTGGCCTAAAAATATATAGATAAGTCAATGGAATAGGACATTGGCACACTTTCAAGGGAACTGTTTTCTAAATCATTATTAAACAACAAATGCTTCTTAACTGCAGTAAGAACTACCTCTAAGAACAATAATCAAATAAGATTGTGCAACACGCTTAGAACCAAACTAAGTTCTTACCAAACATCAAAGCATCTTGAACATTTGGAACCGTTAAATGACAAAAACATCAATAACAGACTAGTAAACACAAGTGAAATGGTAACATGGTAACACACAAATGGAAGCATCTAGTAAATGTAATCAAAATATACTTGGATTTGGCATTTCTTTTTTTGTAACACGTTTTTCCCCGGGACATGTTCAAGAAACTAATTGTAGCATTAAGATTAACGGAAGTCTATGCTTGAATATGAAAGTTATTTTTTTCCCACAAGCATGTTTAATAGAAGCAACAAAAAATATATATGAATGTGCATGTTAGGGCTGGCGAAGAAGATTGATAGTCAGAAATATTGGGAAGAATTATCAATGTTTATTGATATGAAATATGTGGTCAATAAAATCTTACATGAACCATTATGATGAAAGTTTTAATTTCGTAAAATATTTTCAAAAGAAAAGCATGATTTGTAGATGTCAACTTCTTTATTGTTATTCATAATAAAGAAGTTGACCATCCATAAATCTTGCTTTTCTTATGCATTCCACTTCTAAATGCCCTTCAAAGAAAAATATACAAAGTTAGGTCTTCATCATGGGCTGCTTTGCCGGTAGCCCCTGCACCAGTGACTTTTGAGGAATTTTTGCTCAAAGTTACTTCAATATTTACAGACAATCGATAAATATTTAGTTGACGATTATCCATCCCTATGGGCTATATTGATAGCCAGCCCTGATGCTCGTAAAAACAATTTATGTCACTTGAAAACTACAAAATTGCTTCAGTTTTGTGTGATTAAATATTCAAGCCAGTTTAAATCAGGGCATATGCAAAATGTCACATGCAATGAAAATCAGTTCACTTTGAAATTCACAATTACAACACAAAAGAAGCATTCTGCTTGTTTAAACAAGTGAAATAGCTACCAATTATTGCAACTTTATACCAGTTATAATCCAAAATGTTTTTGGCAAAATATGTAAATGGAGCAGTAACAGTAAACTTAACTTTAAGCACATGTTTAGAAGAAACCAAACTGACCTATATGGGTTAGATATCAAACTGTTGTTTGTTGTCATGAGCAGTAAGTTGAATCCAAACCATTCAGCACCCATAAGCCACTTATGCTATCTCTAATTGTAGCTCAAAATAGAAGACAGCATAACCAACTTAAAAGCAGAAGCACTATGTGAAAACAGATTTCTGAAAGTTGTTTTCTGAACTAATATTTCAAATAATTGTTATATGTGACCAAAGTTTTATGTTTACTCAGGGTCAAGGGCATCTATAGGCTGAGTCTTAATCCAATTTAATTTGATTCATTCCTCGACCATCTTTTGCCAGCAATACAGATGCAAATCATTATAGAATGTGGAGGCACTAAAATAAAACAGGAAATAAATTTAGCTTCTTTTTTTCACTAGTTAACCCAAAGATCCACATATCCCATCCACAAGAGAAAATGTCTGCCCAAAAAATACACCATCCAACTGGATTTTCCAATGGTTATGCTACACATTCTATCCAGAGCTTGAAATACAAAAATAAAATGCACCAGGTTGTTAACAAAGTGAAAATCTCCATGGCTTTGACAGGTTTACCGTCATATAAATGCATGATACAAATCATAAATCAAGGCCTTTCTTTCCTCTGAACATTCAAAATCCAAAGAGCAACTTTGGTCCTTGCACATATTAGCCTGACGGTGACAAGTTAGGTTTTCATGGTGATTATCAATGAAAAAAAGTGGTTGATTGTAAAATGTCTTTAAAAAAAATTCTGGTTAAAATATACAGTAAAAGGCACCAATGTCTAAAGCATATTAGATACAGGGCAAATCAGATGTCGGAACTCAAGTTTTACATTTTGTGAACATATTGGATGAATCCTTTACTTAATGATTTGTAGCATGCTTTCAGTACATAAGTGATTCCAGAGAATGTGTTGTCAAAGCATTTTACCTAGAAGATAATGATCTTGATCGCGATCTGGATCTTTCTTCAGATCCTGACCTGGATGTTGATCGAGACTTTCGCACCTTTTTCGCTTCAGCATTCTTCCCATTGGAATCTGCATCTTTCTGTACTTTAAGAGCCTTTTCATCTGCAAAACAAGTTGTAAATTTACTGTTTGACATTCTACCAATTTAGTAAATTATATGTATTTCTTCTATTACTGCTAAGAGGGCAGTACTTACTTCCAGATATTAACTTCAAGTCTTTGATTGGCATTAAAAGTTGCAAGAACATGAAGACAAAAACCTAAATATGTAACAACTTTACTGTTTGTACTGCTGTTTCACTCCTTGTATAAAAAAGCATTAATAGGCTAGAAAAAAACAGTACAGCATCACAAGACTAAATATGTACTTTGAAAAATTCCATTTCCAATTTCCCCAAATTGCAAACTTCAAGGGTCCTTACAGGAAAAGCAACATTCCTGTGAAATAGTGTAATGCACTGTACTGTAAGAATGACAGAAATTATGTTATATTTCTTTTCAAGAATTCAGTACAATGAACATCACTGTCTCTTGGGACTCAATGGGGTGGGTTTTTTTTACATCACTTCTATACATTATATACATATACAAAAATGTATGTGTCAGATAAATCCCTGAATGATTATGACTTGAATATTTCAAGACTTTTCTTTCCCTGTTCAAGTAATGTGAAACTGACGACTATCTCAAACTAGAAGATGGGTATTTATTTGCATGCTTATTATTTTCATTTATTTCATTTTGTGCAATATGAAGTGTCCGGAGGAAAAAAGATTGAAGCTAATTTAAAATGAGCAAGATCAGACAATAATTATTTTCCATGTCCACTTTAACGGTCTCAGTTAAGAAAATAAAATGGCCAATTGGTTGCACATTTCTAGCCGATAACATGACGAACATTAGTTCACGTCACGACGACTAAATCGCGAAATTATTACTAAAGTAATATTTAAAGTAATTCAGTTTTGCCAACAAAGGCACCTATTAAATATCAGATGCCAAATTTGAATGTACGGGTTTGTCATGTTGGAATGGATGACGAACATTCTTCCAAATTCTCAGACATGCAACGTTCGCACTATTTCACAAAGGCATATATGTGAAAATTATACACCGACCATCAACTTTAATAGACCTAAGAACAACCAGTACTTGGTCCTCAAATTTAATAACTTCATAAATAGGTCCCTGGAAGAGTGCTTACTGTCACGGTCATGACTGACAACTTTGACGAGCAAATAGCGATCGGCCATTATGCACGAAGGGGGCTCCAGTTATTGTCTAGCACATAAACACGTGACACAAGCAAGTCAAACACAGGCACAAACCGACCACTTCAAAGAAGGAAGATACAGCACGTACATGCTATTGCTACTTGTTGCTAGACAGTCAAATGTACTTCAAGTGTAATATGCTTACTTTTGTCTGAAGATTTTGATATACCCCGCTTTCTGCCCATGGCTGTCTCAGACGCGGCAGGTGCGTTCCCAACGGCCTTGACCTCTTTCGACGTCACATCCGGAGGGACTACTTCCGGTTTACCTGCCAAATGCGTTTCGTCTGCTGAAGATTCGTCGGCTGTCGTACTTTCTTCACGGTGTTTCTTTTCTTCTGAAATGAAACATCCACCGATAAATACAACTAGTTAAATGTAGAAAAGTGACAAACTGGTGATTGATATTTTCACTGCCAAAGCTTGCCAATGATCTACAAACGGCACACGAACTGGTTCGATGAAAGAAAAACAATCCGGTCAGAGACTGAGTCTGAGAGAGCTCAGAGCATGTCAAAATACCGAAATAGGTACTGCTTTGTCAGTTTCGGGTTTTCAGTTAACATTAATGATATTGGTTTTAATATTTTTTAGAAACTATGTAAAGTCTGAAAATATTTTTAAATGATTCTTTTCCGAGCCCAATGTCTCATACTAGATCTGAGCTTGTAGGACTGTTTACGTAACTAAAATATGCATTATGTAAATGTAGATTGCATGACAATATATTATAATTTTTTTATTTGCTAGCTCATTAAAGTATCCTGTAAACGTATTCCAGTTTAGGGCTTAGTGGGACGAAGAAGAAGTGTAGAACTAATTTTGAGCAGTCACTTACATTTCTGGAATACAAGTACTGCCAGCTTTTCATTATGAGTTCTGATGTACCAAAACTACTGTTAACTGCAATTATTATTCCAAGAATAAGGAATGGAATTAATAGTAACTGACTGACATTCAATAGCCATCTTAATTTAATTTATCGCAATTGAAGTCTATTAACTGATATGAAAATGTAAATTGATAAGCATTGAAATATATACACATTGCTCAGTTACTTCATCACATTTGATTTTACAGTTATCATAAATGTTTTATTTCTGTGCACTAAAAACTTAATGTCAAGTGCCCTGAGTCGTGTTCGATGGCCTATGCTCCCATGGGAGCGGAGGACCTAAGTAAGTATTTTGGTATAACGTAAATATTTAGCAGGTCCCTAACAATAGGAACATCATAACACCTCAGCTGATCGCCCAACACAGAGTTCCTGCAGTCAAACTAGTACCTCTGTCACAGGTCATCTTACACAGTTCACTGAAGATAAATGTATCTAAACTATTTCCATAATTTTCCTTTGTTTAACATGGGTTGAACAGGTCCAGTGCTGTCATTGAAGAGCTAGCTTTATGGTCACTTTGATGCAAGAATGTTTGCTATTTACTACTGCTGTTGTATTTAAATATCTATTTATGTAAAAAATAATGCACTTAGTGCACAGAAAAGCTTGAAATAGGCCACAATGATTCCAGGTTCAGTGCATATGTCTGCAAACAAGAGAAAGGTCTGGTCATCGGATCTGCAAATTAGCCTGTGGCAGTGGTGTAAGGCTGGGTGCTCACTGTGCCTGAGTATGAAGCTCCTAATTACCACTCGACAATGCTCTTTCTCTTCCTCAATTCTCAACGTGAGGAGTCAAACAAGGCTGATTATTATCTACAGCAGAGATCAAAAACAATTATTGACAGTACTTTCCACTGGAAGGCAGGAACTGTATTAATTCAAAACTAAGGCAATGAAAATGGTTTCATTCCAGTACTTTTCCCAACCTACATTAAAGACTTTGGTTCCGTGAAACTGGGGGTGTGGGTGTTTTTTTTGTTTAACCATACTTTCGTTTGTTGCTGGAACAATACATCCTAATCCTAAAACAATTAAGAATCTAAAAGTCTTGTGTAAAGAAACTGAAGAAAATGTACCTGTCCCCAAACACCTTCAAAGAAAATTGCTATTCATGTCTCTTATTTTCGTTACTTGACAAACCATAGCGGCCCTCATCTCACAAGATTTATGTGAATCACACCTGTCAACAAAGTAACATTCACAGATGCCTTGAACACTTATTTTGACACTGATTTTAAGGGTCAAGTTAGGGGGTCGGCTTATCTATGAGATCAGCTTATCTACAGTAACATATGGTAGACAAACCCCCACCCCACCCCCACCCTCCAAACACAATACCCTCTCCTACACACCAAAGATAAAATGCCTTCCAGCTCACCTCTGTGAAAATTGGAAGAAAATTATATCACTGTTTTGTGGCCCTACATTTACACCTCAATTTCTCACATGCTTCATCCTTACTAAAAAGTGCCTATATGTGGGTGTCCAGCACAACAATTGTATTTCGAATTGTAGAAAGTGGAAGGAGACAAAACCAAATAAATACACAACAATTTACATTAAAACCAAGAAAAAATGTGGGTGTACAGCATACACTGATAGTGTATGTGAATCCACAGTGTGTTAATACACCAAATTGCCTTGATGATTCTGTAAAAAAAGGCTTACAATGAAGCATTGGTTCAGATCAGTTCATATTATAATACTGATTCACTCTTGTCTAAAATTTCCTTTCTGAATTGGTAATATTACAGAGTATATGTTCTATGAAGAATTTACAAAATTGTCATAATGCCAGTACTACCTTGGAATATCACAAACCTGTCAAATTTCTTCAAAACATTATTATGCAAAAATAAAGCACCTATTGTACAGAGTCAGTTTCATGGTTCCTTGTAGGTTAAGACAACAGTACCCTACATTAAGATTACTGCAGCAACTTGTCACCAACATTTACATGTGACAGTTCATCCTGTTTGGCAGGATATACTTTAGACATTCTGTATGCATAGACTCTGAAAACCTACACCAAATCAAACTTTAACACAACATCCCTTGCCTTCAAGATGGTCACACTCTGAAACTGATTGTTTAAGGATTGCATACAGACCTCACACAAATTACTTTGGCATCATAGGGTTTCCAGACAATGTTTTTCACCAACTTATGAATTATAAGCCATGAATAAAAACAATAATACCTGCACAATTGTAGCACATATCACTGAACAAAAGCAAAATATTTGATATTACTCTAAAAGTGAGCGAATCCTGCAATGTGTAAAATCCAGTGAGTGAATTTAGTTTTACGCCGCTTTAGCAATATTCCAGCAATATCATGGTGGGGGACACCAGAAATGGGCTTCACACGTTTTACCCATGTGAGGTATTGAACCCGGGTCCTTGACGTGACGTGCGAACGCTTTAACCTCTAGGCTATCCCACCGCCTCGGGTAAAATCCTTGCAAAGCAATCCAGAAGTTTGACAGCAAGAGCAATTCTACATAATTTATCAAGGTCAAACATTAAGCACCCTATTCTGCCTTAGAATTTAAAAGAAAACTTAACTCAATTCAAAGATGACATTTTTCCACATGTCAACAGATTTCGTAACAAAGGGTGGCCTTTGTGGAACAAGGTATTACAATAAATGCAAACATCATGTAGACCACTCGATCCACCCCCAGGTTACGTTATAAAAAAAAGAAATTCTCATCCCTGTTAATATCTAAAAGCAGCGTATTCAAAAACCTAACCATTTACATCGCATATGTGGTCTTCCGTTTCAAAGGAACAAATGATGGAAATAAATATTCACTATGTACTTGGCATTTTATGTTGTGAATGGATATGACTATTTCCACAAACCTGCCCATCATGTTTCTACACAAAACACGTGAACACAATGCATCCAATATTTATCCAACATAGACAAGGACCTTCTGTTGTCAGGTAATGCTTTCAATACATGAATGATGCGGCTGTAGAACAAGCTGGGTTGACCTTTAAGCGACATCAATGTGCAATGCAGCTGTGTAAAAGATCGGGGTGTCGTATTACAGGTGGGCGGCTCGCCATAAGCAAATCCCACTTTCAACAGTCGGGCTGCTACCCTTTCCATCATAAACTTTCATTCCTGGCAGCAATCTGTGCAAGTTTTGAAGCCTGGTAAGTAACTATTGTCCATATCACATAGCAGGTGCTCTGTAGTGTTGTATAACAAGCTTATGTGTTTACTCAAGGTTGTAATCTGTCAGTTAATCAGAGTGATCATTGGTCTACAAAATAATGTTTTGTCACATGTACCTACATGTGTGGCATTCATCGTTTGATTCTCAGGTCTGTTGTATGGTTTTGATGTTTCTCGCTGTGTGTATGATACAAAATGCTTGCACAGTTCTTACAATTCTTTACACTCACAATCATAATTTTTTTTTTAAGATTTACCATATTTTTATACACATATATCACTCTTCCGTCACCAAAACGGTTAAGTTTTGACAGATGAAATATAAAATTGTTCTGGAATATATATTTTTTCCCATGAGGTGTAACACTTCCAGCTGTGTAAGTTACTTGGATCAAGAAACAAATCATTTAAGCATGACCAAACAAGATCGCTACTGTAAAACACAAAAGACCTAACACAGGGAAGTGTCATGGTGGACCTTTTTAACTTTAGACAGAATATCCAACCATTTAATCTTGTTATCCAACGGAGGTCACACGATATCATTTAACGTATCTCAGTATAACAGGATCTCAAATACACAGCTATGATCTGTGTGTTGTTAACTGTTGATGTGACCCACTAAGGAATACTACAGTTCATCTATTTATGACAAGAATTGCTTTAGGGAGCTATTCGAATAGCCATGAGAGAGTTTGGAACATTGGGACACTGTAAACTCACGCTGCTAAATCAGGAAAATCAATAATTTTTCCCTCCTCAAATAAACAGGATAGTGTTACATCTGACATTTACACTGCAGGAGGTACAGAACCGGTTCATGTATTTTTTATTCAAATTGACGGAAAGAAATCAATTTGTGGAGATCTTTACAGACCATGGAATTAAGGT